GTTATATTTATTATAAGTGTTGTTATATTTATTATAAGTGTTGTTATTTATTATAAGAGTTATAATAAATAAGACTTATAATAAATATAACAACACTTATAATAATTATAACAACACATAATAATTATAACAATACTTATAATAAATATAAAAGTTATAATAAATAACACTTATAATTATAACAATACTTATAATAAATATAACAGTTATAATAAATAACACTTATAATAAATATAACAGTTATATTTATTATAAGTGTTATTTATTATAAGTTATAATAAATAACAACACTTGTAATAAATAACAACACTTATAATAAATATAACACTTATATTTATTATAAGTGTTATATTTATTATAAGTGTTATATTTATTATAACACTTATAATAAATATAACACTTATAATAAATATAACAGTTTTAATACATATAACAACAGTTTTAATAAATATAACAACAGTTTTAATACATATAACAACAGTTTTAATAAATATAACAACAGTCTTAATAAATATAACAACAGTTTTAATAAATGTAACAACAGTTTTAATAAATATAACGACAGTTTTAATAAATGTCAGAGAGCAGAGTGATTTTGTGCTGCTCACCCTTTTTCAGCATGTAGGAGCAAAACTAATAAAATTCAGGCACCAAAGAGACGTTGGTGTATTCACCAGTTTGGACGTAAATGTCATGCAGACTCTGCATGCACAATGAATGCAGCTGAGCTCTGCATCAGGGTTGCCAGATAAATTTAAAATGTCTTATTTACCCTTTCCTTTTCTGTGCCCATGTTCAACAAACCCACCACACACCTCATCTTAGAATATCTTTACTCATCACATATGACATTTTAGGTCAAAATACTATAATTTTAAAGCCACAATACTAAAGTTCATCATTTCTTATCTAGCCCACAAGAAGGTCCCACAGCTGACAGTGATGTCAGAGCACAAATACCAAGGATGGAGTCAAAGGAATTGTCTGTACACCAACAATATTTATTTTATTTTATTTTATTAGTTTATTTGACAGGGACAATGCACACAAACATAGAACGTTGGTTACGTACTATAACCCCAGATTCTATGAGTGTAGGCGTAGCCCTTTAAGAGCTGTCGCTTAGTGGGTTTTATCCTGTCATGCAAATCATCGCACTGAAAAATTTAGTCCACGTCCACCTGTTGTGTGGGCCCCACCCAGTCCGTATAAATTATGTTAAGAGCAGGTAATCGGCTCCCAAATAGCTTTTTCTTCAGCCCTTTAGGAGCCAGTGAGGCCCGACGCTTAAAGGGCTACGCCTATACTCATAGAATCTGGGGTTGCAGTACGTAACCAATGTTCTATTTCGTATAGGCGTAGCCCTTTAAGAGCTGTCGCTTAGTAGGTTAAGGGTGAAGCAGATGTAGTCCTCGCCTCACTGGGTCCATTCGAACACCATACGAAGCGGCAGCTTGCCCAAAAAATAACTTGTGACTGATAACAACATCACACACTGTAATGCATGCAGTCAGATGTGAGTTTAAACGAGATTCCATGAAACAACAATAATCATTCTGTTAAGGTACTAAGGACAGAATGTGTCATGGAACGAGTCGACACATCACGTAAATAGAAGCAAATAAATGAGCAGGGTGTTGACCACACTGCCGCAGTGCAATTATCCTGCATTGACATACCATTATGCAAAGCAGTCGAAGATGCGATACCTCTGGTCGAGTGCGCCCTGAGGTTGTCAGGAGGCTCTAAAACTGATGCTCTGTAGGCTTCAGAAATGGCCTCACACAGCCAGTGTGACTGGCGCTGGGTGGATAACTGGCGACCTGCAGATGCATCTCTAGTGCACCAACAAATGTTGAGTTTGACGCATTGCTGCCATGCGTGTTATGCAACACGTCGACGCCCGCACAGGACAGAGAAAATGGAAGATGATGCTTCTTCTGATTTGTGGGGGGGGGGGGGGGGCATCCAGCGATATCACTCTTGATTTAAAAGAGCTTGTGATGTTTTTATGTATGAACGCTGGGTTAGGTCTCCGATCAGCTGAGCTGCCGTCAGCCTAAATTCTGAGACATGGCGGAGCGACGGAGAGGGCAGATAAATCATTCACCCTCTTAGCGGATGTTAAAGCCAGCAGCAGGGCTGTTTTAAGAAACAAGAATTTAATTGGAACCTGATTCAGTGGCTCAAATGGAGCTTTGATCAGGGCTCGCAGAACCAGCGTTAAATCCCACTGTGGAGCAAGTGGGCGTGAAAACAGGACTGCGTCTCTGTACACCTTTTAAAAAACGCTTCATTAGCAGATGATTAAAAGCTGTTCTGTCCCCGAAACCTTCATGACCGGAAGAGATGGCTGCAGCGTACGTTTTAATCGTGTTGAACGCCAAATTTCTGTCCATCAGCTGTTGTAGAAAGGACAGCACGCTACCTAGTGGACACGAAGTGGCCTCTACAGCTTTCTCTGTACACCAGTGCTGAAAAGCTGTCCACTTTTATGTGTACAGCGCTGTGGTGGATGCAGCACGTGAATCCTGGATTGTGCACACTACATCTTGACGTGGACCGTCCCTGGACATCATGTCCGCCCTCTGTTCAGAACACCAGGGATGGGCACACCAAAATCTGCTCTCCATCAGAGCAGTGTACAACACAGCAGCTATCTCACAATGTGTAACATTTGGGCTGAGCGCACACCCCCCTTGCCGGTTATGTATGCAGCAGTCACTTGCTATCTGTATGAGTCAACACATGATGATTCTGCAGCACAGAGGCAAAATGTTGAATCACATTCAAAACCCCTGACACTCTAAAAACATTTATACGAGTTGCTGTGTGGGGTGGCCACAGCGCCCCCACAGCTCAAGAAATGCATGTGCCTCTGTGAAGTCTGACACGTGTGACATAAGTTTGCTGACAGAAACATCTGTTATCACTCTGCCGGTTTCACGTGAGTTGCACTGCTTCCACCTGTCTGGAAAAGCGGGTCAGCGTCAACAGATGTCCAGATAAAGCAGAATTCTCCTCCCTGCTCTGTGTGGCGGCTACAGAGCGACTCGACGCATTTTAAATGGAAATGCTGTCTCACAGTTCAAAATTGACAAATCTAATATGAATCTCATCCTTCTGGTCCGTTTGAGACCAGGAAGTGACGAGAGTGGAACCCTGTGTTTTCTTCTACTTCTGGGACCTTGGAAATTACATTTTAATCAGAATTTCCTGAGCTGCGAGGGGGAACAAGATCTGTTCTAGAGATAAAAGAAAACGTCTCTAGAGTTCCTCCGAACGGGGGTTTGAGCTATACTGCAGCGTGAATCCCCTGCTGATAAACAGTTCATCCATCTTTCTGGAGCGCACACTCACTGCCACTCCGCGTAACGTTTGGGAAGCGGGCACGCGTTTATGCTGCGTCACGTTATTTACGGACGCCAATCACCGCCGTCATGTGTGCCTCACTCAGGCTGCGGGCTCACATCCGTGCTGATGTGAGCTGGCGTGCGCTGAGGGGAAGGTGCGTGCTCCCCGAGCATGCAGAACCGGTTTAGGACTGCCGCGGGTGCGCGGCGTTCCTATGCCGCGCACAGGCTGCGGGCTCACATCCATGCTGATGTAATCTGGCGTGCGCTGAGGGAAGGTGGGATGGTCGGGAACCCTAGAAATTACCTCTTTTACCAGAAGTTCTTGGACTTCTGCATTTAGGGATGAGACCTGGTCTGGGGATGACAGAACCGTCTCTAAAACTCCTCCAAACTGAGGGGTTTGAGCTGCAAATTGTAGTGTATAACCCCTGCTGATCAGCCTGCTCATCCATCTGTCTAGAGAGCACGTCCTTTGCCACTCTGCGTAACGTTCGTGGAGTGGGCGTGCGTTTGTGGTGCGTCATGTTTCTTACGGACGTCAGCCAGTTACAGCCTCGACCGCCGTCATGCGTCGCGGAAGTGTGCTCCGCGTGACCCAAGGCGAGGCTTTCTCAAAAGGGCTCTGAGTGCGCTTCTGTGCCGCGCTCAGGCTGCGGGTTCACATTCATGTCATTGTGAACTGGCGTGTGTTCAGGAGAGGTGTGCGCGCCTTCATTAACGCGGCGCTGTTTGGGTGAAAGCTGCCTGCGCTGCGGGAGCGTACAGCTCCTGCTGAGAGCGAGGTTTCCCACTGGACTTGTTCAGCGGTCTCGCATTCATGCTGTTGCGAGCCGGCATGTGCTGGGGAGAGGTGTGCACGCCTTCATCAATGCAGCGCCGTTTGGATGAAGGCTGCCAGCGTCGCGGGAGCGCGCGTTTAACACCGCTGCGGTGAAAAGCGTGCAGTTCGGGCTGAGAGCAGGTTATAATAATAATAATAATAATAATAACTTTTATTTATAATGCACTTTACATTCACAGTGAATCTCAAAGTGCTACAAAGAGTGCTTTTATCCTGCTGCTATCTGATGTTCAACCATAAAAGCAACCGAGAGCAAAACAACCAGGAGGATAACGCCTCAGAATGAACACATGAAAAAAAACTTAAAATGCACAAAAATGCAGATAAAATTTTCAAATAAGAACTATGGGTGAATTAAAAAAAAAAGTACAGTGCAATCAATTAAAAAACTGGGTAAAAAGAAAGGTTTTAAGACCCTTTTTAAAACATGTGGAGCATGTGTCTGTGGAGCCCTCGGATATGAAGGCAGGGCGTCCCACAGCCGAGGGGCAGCGCAGGAGAAAGCCCGGTCTCCTGTTGTGCAGGATCGAGACCTGGGAGTGAGAAGAAGATGAGTGTTGGAAGAGCGGAGAGTGCGTGAAGGACAATGAGGGGTGAGAAGTTCTTTTAAATAAGATGGTGCATTACCGTACAAGCATTGTAAGGCGAGCAGATACATTTTGTAAGTGATCCGGGCAGAAACAGGAAGCCAGTGAAGTGAACGGAGTACAGGGGTGATGTGCTCGTGCTTACGCACTCTAATCAGGACCCTGGCAGCGCTGTTCTGGACATACTGTAGTTTCTGAATGTTCTTGCCAGGAATCCCAATGAGGAGTGCATTGCAGTAGTCCAGTCTGGAAGAGACAAAGACATGGACGAGCTTTTCTGCATCGGTGAAGGACAGTAACTCGAAGAGTTATCCCATTGGACTCGTTCTGCGGACCACATTCACTTTCAACTGCTGTGTCATGCGAGCATCTCATGTTTATCTTTGAGCTGCGGTGATTTTGAAAAACCTGTTTTAGGACACCGGCTCGTTTGTCAGTTCGAATGATCTCACAGTGGTTTCTCCTCACACATCCTCCACACAGACAGGCTGAATCAGACACTTTAATCTTTGAATGATGTTCGTGTTTTATTTCAAAAACTCCTGTCATCAATGCACACACATCGCCCGCAAGGCGTCATTCCTGAATCTTCTTCCCCGTGAGCCCTGCGGTTTGTTGTCCCAGGGCGCCGCCTGTTTGCGATCTCTGGGAAAAGCTGAACCGCCGGTTGCCGGGATGAGAAGGGCTGTTTTCTGATGGGCGGGGCTGGCGTTGAAGCAGAGCGGGAGGACGCAGCTGTGGAACGTCTGTTTGCTACCTATAGCCACAACGAGCCTTCCAGGGGGGCGGGATGAGGCGTGCGGCTTGGTCAGATGGCGCACAGTCTCCAACACTTCCTCCGGCTTTTTCGATTTCTCGAGCATGTCCATGAAAATTGGCTCTGAATAGCACGTCCGCTTCTCTGACAGGGAGGGGGGACAGCAGACGAGGCACACGTCTTGAGGGTGACGTCAGACGCCCTGCAGAGGGAGCTCTTGTCTCCTCAGGCAGGTCTGTCCCTCCGGCCTCTGAGATGCTGTACGTCAGCAGCGCAACGTATTGTTCGCTGCGGCCGCCTGGAACGCATACTGGTGAGCTCGGTTGGAGAGCAACGTCACCGTCTGGTCATGCCTCCCCGGAGGCATGGGACGCTGGTCCAACCTGGACATCTTTGCTCCGAAAGCCTCCGCCAAGCTTGGTTCCGGGGGGGGTATGAAAATGTGTATGAAAATGTCACATTTTTCAAGCAATATTTTCATAATGCAATGGGATATCCAGATCATTCAAATGTCTAGATAAAGCTTAAGCACTCAGCTTTACAAATATGTAAACCTTGTTTAGCTGTGATGTTCATAAGTGTGTCTAGAGGCTGGAGAATCAATACATTTTAAGCAATTTGTCAAATGCATGTATATGAAAATGTGTCCAAGAGAATTTCCACTCTGTTAAACCCCTCCACTCTGATGATGGGTGCGGATGTGGAAAACCGGCGCTCTCAGTCTACCAGGTCCGGCTGCAGCCTCGTTCCAGTAGGACGTCACGGCTGGGAAAACGAGGCCAGATGGGATCAGGACGGCGAGTCGGGGTGGGGCCAAAAAACCTTCCCGCTAGATCATCCGATCTGGGCAGGGGGAGGAGAGGGATGGAAAAAAGTCCCTTCATGTCAGCCGCCTCCTGGATTATGCCGGGCAGCTCCAGAGGAGAGCACAGACGGCTGGGAGCAGTGTGGTCACTGATGCGAAAAAGGTCTGGGGGGGGTGAGCATTCGCTCAGCCCCCCTCGTTCCGACACTACACTCTCCAGGAGGGAGTGAGCAGCGGGGGCTGCTGCTGACGTCGCCTGTCCCGGAGGAACCATTGGATTTGCTCCGAGTTGGCGATAAAAGTAAAAATTAAAGATGGCGTCGTCCAGTGTGTAGCGACCCGCCACTGAGAAATATTCCTCGGCGCTTACCTTGAAATAAGACTGCTCGTCTGTTTCTCCTCAGGGAGGAGAACTCACCAGGACGGCAGGAGGTTGGCATGGCGGGACCACAGGCAGCCTTAACAAAGGATGTGCCCGTCAAGCTGGACAACTTCCCTTCTTCGTTCTTCTGACAGTGCTATTAGCTTGCTGAAGAAAAAATGGGAGCCGATTTCCCGCTCTTAACGTAATTTATACGGACCGGGTGGGGCCCACACAACGGGTGGGGCCCACACAACAGGTGGGCGTGGACTAAATTTTTTTCAGTGCGATGCTTTGCATGACGGGATAAAACCCACCAGCGACAGCTCTTAAAGGGCGAAGCCTATACGAAATAGAACAGAACAAGTCTGTGACTGATGCGTTGCACAAAGAGTGTATAGCTAATTCGCAACTCCAGTCCCTGGTTGGGCATTTCTATGAATTAAAATACATACAATTTATCAATCAAAATACATTAAGAATACTTATGTTTTCCTGCCTACATATTCATGTAATCAACCTAACAACCTCCAAATTCATAAAATAAAAAGTATACATTAAAATACAAACAATTTAAAAAATCTAGATACAATAAAAATACAAAACATTTTCCTCTACAAATTCTAAAATAACTTTGCAACCCACAAATTTACATAAATATCATGGCACATCCTCAATACCTCCCCGTCCGCACACGTTCAACTAACATACTAAAAATTGTAAATATAATACAGGATTGTGTTGAGGCACAAATCTGGGGAAGGATACAGAAACATTTCTGCTGCTTTCAAGGTCCCAAAGTGTCCTCCATCATTGATAAATGGAAGAAGCTTAGAACCACCAGGACTCTTCTTCCTAGAGCTGGCCGGCCGTCTAAACTGAGCGAATGGGGCAGAAGAGTCTTAGTCAGGGAGCTGACCAAGAACCCAATGGTCCACTCTGTCAGAGCTCCAGCATTCCTCTGTGGAGAGAGGAGAACCTTCCAGAAGGACAACCATCTCTGCACCAATCCACCAATCAGGCTGTATGTTAGAATGTATAGACAAATGCCACTCTTTAATAAAAGAACATGGCAGCCCGTCTGGAGTTTATCAAAAGGCACCTGAAGGACTTTGAGACCAGGAGAAACAAAACTCTCTGGTCTGATGAGACAAAGATTGAACTCTTTGGTCTGAATGACAGGCGTCATGTTTGGAGGAAACAAGCTCAGAACAATACCATCCCTACAGGGAAGCATGGTGGTGGCAGCATCATGCTATGGAGATGATTTTCAGCAGCAGGGACTGGCAGACTAGTCAGGATAGAGAGAAAGATGAATGCAGTGATGCTTCCTGCAGATAAAATAAAAATTGAGAAATTATGGAATCACCCAAAACTATTCTGTATCTGAGAACTGCTGAGTTTTTTTTATTTTTTTATTTTAAGATTCAGTTTTTGCTCACGTGCAAGGCTCAGCACGTGAAAAGGTTCAAGGCTGAAGGCCTAGTCTGTGACCGTGGGTTTATTGGGATAGGGGTCTGGCATGGTACTGCAGTGGCAGCATGCATGTTTTCATAAGCAGTGTCAACAGGTGGGTTCACGGTTCGTTTCTGGCTGATCATGTGACCAGCTGATTGCGCTCCATCTGCTGTCAGTGGAACGTATTCTCACATAAATAGGAGCTAGTTTCCAATTTTACACTTGAGACCTTTTAACACTTTATTATGACTTAACAGCTTGTTGGTTTCAGATGTAATTAATTTGTTTAGTGTATGACAGAGTAAAAGGTTTGATGTATTTACATGAGTAAATTTTGCATGTATTTTTTAAGTTGACCTGTTTGTTCAGTAGTCCAGTATCAAAGTAATAAGAACATAATTTAAATTCAATTCAATTCAGTTTATTCATATAGCGCCAAATCACAACAAAGTTGTCTCAGGGAACTTTACAGAAACATTCACATAAAAGACAATTAGTAAAGTTTTCTATCTAAGGAAGCAACAGACAAGTTTAATCTTGGATTTGTTGAAGTCTCCCATCCTGAGCAAGCACAGTGGCAACAGTGGAAAGGAAAAACTGTCTTTTAAGAGAAACCTCCAGCAGAACCAGGCTCAGGACAAGAGGCCATCTGCTTTGACCGGCTGGTTGAGAGGACAGGAAGGAGAGACAGACAAACACAGAATGGTAGGTCCAGGTGTATCTGAAAGACAAAAACACACATGTTAAGGATAGAAAAAATAATTACAAATATAAAACAGGTTGAGCAGAGTAAGTAAAGACAGTAGCAGAGTGAAAATTGTGGTCAGTTTGTCCTCCAGCAGTCTAAGCCTATAGCAGCATAACTAAGGGGCAGCTCAGGAAACCCAAGCCGAACCTAACTATAGTCCAGTCTAGATGGGACAAATGCATGGAACAGTTTTTCTGCATCATTTTTGGACAAGATGTTTCTAATTTTAACGATATTACACAGGTTGTTAGATAATAACTCAGATTCTTCTCTTATGTTCTCCTGTCCTACAGAGTCCTATAAAGGCCACTTTGGCCCAGTCCACTGTGTTCGCTTCAGTCCTGATGGCGAGCTGTATGCCAGTGGTTCTGAGGATGGCACGCTTCGACTCTGGCAGACAGCAGTGGGGAAAACCTACGGTCTGTGGAAGTGTGTCCTCCCAGGTATCTGTCACTGCTTCTCGAGATGTTTCAACATGTTTGTTTGATTTGTTTTTAATGTTACTCAAAAAAATGTTCATTGTTTCAAGTGGTACAGAGAAGTGCAGTTTGTAGAAATACTAAATTAGAAGGTCCACATGGAGAGACTAATCAAAGTGAACGCAAATAGTTGGTTTTAAATTAAAGCCTGATTGATATGGAAATACAAAGTAATCCCTCGTCAGTAACTCTTGTTTCTTGTTGGTCACGAAATGTCCATCCAATTATCGTCACCTGCTTCTTCCTTTTCGGGTCACAGAGGTCACTTGTGCCCAAATCCAGACATCACTGTGTGAGAGGTGGGGGACACCCTGGACAGGTCTCCAGTCCATCACAAGGACACATGGAGACAAACAACCATTCACACTCTCACCTAGGAACAATTCAGAGTTACCAATCAGCCTAACATGCATGTTTTTGGTCTGTGGGAGGAAACTGGAGTACACGGAGAGAACATGCAAACTCCACCCAGAAAGGCCCCTGGCCAGAATTTGAACCGGCGACCTGCTCACTGAGAGGCAGCAGCTCTACCTACTGCTCCACCATGCCAGTGGAACTAAAATTCTAGGTGGTATTTTATTTGATTGTAAGTGGGCAACGTTTACCGTGTCCTGTGGGTCGATCCATTATAGCAGGGGTGTCAAACTCATTTTCACCGAGGGCCACATCAGCATAATGGCTGTCCTTAAAGGGCCAGATGTAACTTATAAATGTAACTAAATGTAATCGAATGTAATGTAAAATAAAATGTAACTACTCCTTAATGTTAAATAACTCATTATTTATTATAACTTATTCAAGTGACAATTACGGTTGCATAGAAAACATATGTTTGCTTGTTGCTCTAACATCAATCCTTTTAAAGTTTGTCAGCTTATGAAAACCCACATAACTCCATTATTGAAGGATCAAACTGTCCAAGTGAATAAAGAAAAATAACAAATAGTCAAATAGCTTTGAAGACATCCTAAAACTGAGCTGCAAAGAACATGTATGACACATGTAGCATTTTACAAAAGAAGGCTACACACAGCCTTGCATCCAACTGATGGTTTGATGACAACAATTTGCCTGCATACACACATAAGACCTGCAAACATTAAATAATTACAACAGCAGCTATACATAAATAATATGTAATCAACTAAAAAACAAAATAAAGGTTGACTCGGTTCACAACTATATTACTCAAGTTTTTTGGTTAGTCTTCGATGAGGAGATGCTGCCTGTCCTTGTACACACCAAGTGGATTCTCTCTACTATCGATTGATCATGTTCTGAAAATGATAAACACAAAACAAAATGCACGCACAATCATTAAATTGCACACAGTTTAACTGTTCTTCTTCTTGGTTGAATTACATTTTATTATATTTTAGTTTTCAAAAAAAATGCTAACCTGTGTTTTTCTGACCAGATGTCTGACACCGTTTGTCAATGTCTGGCTTTAGGTCCTGTGCTGAGAACAGCATGGAGGTTGTCATCCGTGAGGCGTGATCTGTGCTTGTTTTTGTTCAGATTCATTATGGGAAAAAACTGTTGGCACAGATAGGTGCTTCCAAACATGGACAGAACACGGCAGCATGAAGTCGAAGCTGTGGCATCAAACCAGGGGGCATCAGACGGTAAAAGTCCTGGATTGCAGCATCCTGGAACTTTGCTCTCAGGCCACTGTCGCTTTGAAGCTCAATTAGCTCCATCTGAAGGTGTTGGGGTGCAGTGCAGACATCGGTGGTGAAAGGATTGGCAAAGATGTCAAAGCCAGACTGTTGTGCTCTGAAGTCAGAGAAGCGCCGATCAAACTCAGTCTTTAACCAGCTCAGTTTGGTAGCTAACTGAGCACATGAAAACGTCTCGGGAAACGAGGCTGACATGCTCTGACAAACAGGAAAGTGGACAAGATTGTCCTGTTTCACTTGCCGCATCCATAAGTCCAATTTACGCTGGAAAGCCGTGATCGTGTCGGACATCTGCGTGATGACTTGTTTGCGTCCCTGCAGCTTCTGATTCAACTGGGCGAGATGGTCGGTTATGTCACACAACACAGCAAAGTCTCACAGCCACTCTGGATCTGATAGTTCAGACATGAGTTTTCCTTTACTCTGCATAAAAAGAGCAATGTCTTCCCTGAGCTCAAAAAATCGTTTGAGGACTTTGCTCCTACTCAGCCACCGCACTTCTGTATAGTACGGCACATCCCCGTGTTCCGAGCCCATCTCCAGCAAAAACTGCTGGAACTGACGGTGATTCAGGCCACGCGCCCTAATGAAGTTCACTGTTTTCATGACTGTGGTCACAATGTCCTCCATCCCCAGCACCTTCCCACACAAAGCTTCTTGATGGATAATGCAATGATACGTTATCAGAGGCGTGTGACCGTTCATTTTTTGTATTTTCCTCTTCATTAGTCCAACCAAGCCCACTTTTCCTCCACACATTGCCGGTGCACCGTCTGTAGTTAATCCCACCAAGTTTTCCCACTGCAATGCATTTTTACTTACGGACTTCTCCACCGCATCAAAAATGTCCTGTCCCGTCGTGGTCCCATGCATTGCAGCCACATCCAACAGCTCCTCAGTGATAGAGAGGTCCGACTTTACGCCTCTAATAAAAATTGATAACTGTGCTGTGTCTGTGTTATCTGTGCTTTCATCAACAGCTAATGAAAAAGCTGTGTAGCTGCGTGTCTCCTCGGTCAGCTGTGTTGGAAGATTTTCTGCTAGTTCCTTCACTCGGTTCGCGATGGTGTTTCTTGATAAACTGACATTTTTAAAAGTCTGTAACTGGTCGGGACACACCTGCTCACAGACCTTCAGCATGCACTGCTTCAAAAACGCTCCCTCTGAAAAAGACTTGGAAGCGTGGGCGATTTCTTCAGCCACAATGAAGCTAGCTTTCACTGCGGCCTCGTTTTTGGCTGTGGATTTCGTGAACAAACTCTGCTGCGACCGCAGTTTGCCTTTTTATTCTTGTGCAATTTGTTGCTTTTCTTGAAGGCTAGCTTTAGCGTACTTAGCTCCGTGTTTGGTGTCAAAATGTCGACGCAGATTGTACTCTTTGACAACCGACACTGCCTCGTAACACAAAAGACATACTGGTCTTTCTCCTTGAAGCACAAACAAGTATTCGCCTTCCCATCTTTCTTGAAACAGTCTTCCGTCTGCATCAACTTTTCTCTTTCTGGACATTTTGGGATCATTATTTATATCTCAATTCCACTCGTTGGCATGGATGTGGAAACACTGCCGCGGCTACCGAGGTAGAAAGGCATTGTGGGAAATGTAGTTTTTGGTCAAAGCACGCTCTTAATTTATTTTTTGGTATGTATTTTTAGACACTCAACTTTTAAGCTCTCGCGGGCCACATAAAATGACATGGCGGGCCACATGTGTCCCGCGAGCCTTGAGTTTGACACATGTGCATTATAGAATCAACACAAGTGTCTTTCACCGCCACTTGTTTCATGTTTCCAAAATAATATCTGTCTGATTAATGAAATGAGCTGAAAATGACTTCTGAACAAAGGCAGCTGCAAAAGTTAAGGAGCATTAAGTGTAGAACCACTAGACTGAGGAACAGCTTCTACCCTGAGGCTGTTAGACTCATGAATCTCTAACCAGAATAATCACTGTGAAAATCACATCATGTTGCTGCTGATCTGTTTCATGTTGCTGTGTTCATACGTGCTCATCTGCTCACACAGACTCGTGTTCATGTTTGTGCTGCTGTTTGACGTAATGTTTTTATGCTTTTAGTGCTTAGTGTATATTTAGTTGTTTTTCTTTTACATTTTATTGTTGGACGTAACTGGGACCCTGTGAACATAATGTCGTTCCACCACATGTTCCACATGTGGTGGAACGACAAATAAATCTCTCTGACTCTGAAAAGCCATCTGCGGTCAGGTTCCTCCTGTTTGTTTGTAACTCTTGGTCTTGTTCTTCCTCCAGAGGACCTTGGGACAGAGAACTCTGAGCAGATGTACTCCTCCACCCCTGAGATTAAAGCTTGAAGACACAGTTGTGCCATCAGAGAAGCACGTGAAAAGAACGAAGATGAGTGGAGTGGTGCTCCAGGGGGTCTTCTGTGAGCTCACAGTAGGGAACAGAGTCCAGAGCCTCCCCACCCATCCACCAGGAGCTGATCTTCAGATCGCTCCATTTGTCCAATGATCACATACATGTTTTTCTTTTTAAAGAGCCGTTTGGGCAGCAGAGGAACGCAGTAGAGCTGTGGGTGGAGGCTCACTGCTGCCTGCTTTATCTCTGTTCAGCCACTTTATTTTAAAATGAACTCCAGATCTTATGATTGGCTTTGTTTTGGTTTCAACATTAAGCTTTTATTAAGCTGGACCAAGGCATTTGTTTTCTCTTCATACGTACAGAATAGTGGACATTTGTGCTGAAGTGCAGGAGCTTTCATTTCTTCAAACTGAACATGGCTTTGAGTATTTCCTACCGTTTTACTGATTTAGCCTTTAAAGAGTGCAAATGAAAGAAATTATTGTTTTGTGATAAAGTGGAAAGGGGAAAAAATGTTACTTATTTTTTTTTCCATTTTAGATCCTCTTCATTTGTGTCCAGTGGTGAAATAAACAAGACGCATTACGCTTTTATTTATTAGTAATGCACAAAACGGGATGTTTGGTGTCTTTATTATTTTTTTAAACTGTCCGAATATGTCTCTCAACTCAAATCAAATATTAACTCATCTGTAAAATATGATATTTGTTAACTAATATCCATTAGATTTGATGGGTCAGTCAAATTAAATTGGCTATAAATTAATTGGAAAAAGTTAAATAAAGTAGATGCCATTTCCTGCATTCTGGTGTATTTTAACGGGTTGTTTAACATCTAGTCTTACCTACACAAGTAACACTTGATTCAATAACTATTTTAGAGTTAATGGTAGAACAAGACCTGCCTGACCAACAGCTCTCCTTGTGTGAATAGAGCACGCTCCGCTTCACATGCATCCTACTCACAGTCCAAGAAACACTGTAGCCTAAGTTAATCTAAAAAAGTTAAATCTGGTCCTCTGGACATTCAAAAAAACAAAGCAAATCAACAAAAAAATGTAGAAACTTTTCGTCTCTCATCCGAGAGACTTCCTCAGTCTGAGGTGCTGTATTCAGCTCAGTCTCTTAAATAGCACCTTCTCAGAGTGGATCAACCAGTTTTGCTGCTGAAAACCAAAACCAGCTGATCACATGCTCAAGAAGGACCGTCAGCCTAACAATGGATCATTAGCACACTGATGGCTGTTTACTGTTCACAGAGGGCTGAGTGATACTAGCAATCACAGCATTGTAAGAGGGGGACAGTTGAACCTGGAGGCCTCCACCCCTGTTTAATGATGGACGGTTTCTTTTAACAAAGATGGCCTCCTTTACTCTCTCAAACCATCATTACTCTCTATCCAGGATGTGAACATCTTCATCCCTGAAAGAGTGACCGCTGGCCTGGAGATGAGTGTAGACCGCAGAGTCCTGGCCTGATGATGTTGATCTTCTGTGCTGGTCCATCCTTTTGGCCAGTGGCTGTTTTGTTTCCCCGATGTAAGACTGATCACAGCCCTCCTGACACTGAACAGCATACACAACATTACTCTGTTTGTGCCGGGGGACTGGATCTTTGGGATGAACCAGTCTTTGCCGTAATGTATTTTGGGGTTTAAAAGCCACTGGGACGTTATGTTTAGAAAATAAACGTCTCAGTTTCTCTGATACCCCCTCAACATATGGAATGACCACTGGTCTGTGTTCCTCCTTTTCACCTGTTGGCTGACTGGAGTCCTGTTTGGGTTTCTTCTCTGCTTTTAGGAAGGCCAAGTTAGGATATCCACATTGCTCTAGAGCCTGTCTTGTGTGGGATTTCTCCTTCTGCCTGGCTCCTGAGCTAGTGGGGATGCTGTCTGCTCTGTGGTACAGAGTCCTGATGACTCCTAACTTGTGCTACAAAGGGTGATGGGAGTCAAACTGCAAATACTGGTCTGTGTGGGTGGGTTTGCGGTACACCTCAGTTTGCAAATGTCCTCTATCAGAGACTGAGACCTCACAGTCCAAGAAAGCCAACCTGCCATTTTTTACATCTTCTCGTATGAACTTGATGTATTTATCCACAGAGTTGATGTGGTCAGTAAAATGTTGGACTTCCTGAGATTTAATTTTAACCCAGGTGTCGTCAACATACCTGAACCAATGACTTGGTGGTGTCCCTGAAAAGGACGTCAAGGCTCTCTTTTCTACCTCCTCCATGTACAGGTTGGCAACAATAGGAGAAACTGGAGACCCCATAGCACACCCATGTTTCTGCCTATAATATTGCTCCCCATATGTGAAGTAGGTTGACTGCAGGCACAGTTTCAAGAGTTGACACAGTTGTTCTGTGGAAAG